GTTTGGGGAGAAAAGAGGGGACAAGCTTTTAGGTATACTACGGTAGTGAGGGTTGAGGAAGTTTTCCAGTTTGGGGTTTAGGGTTTAGGGTTTAGGGTTCAGGGTTTAGGGTTTGGGGCTTGGGGGTTTGGGGTTTGGGGTTTGGGGTTTAGGGTTTAGGGTTTAGGGTTTGGGGTTTGGGGGTTTGGGGTTGGGGTTTGGGGTTGGGGTTTAGGGTTTAGGGGTTCGGGGTTTAGGTTTTAGGGTTTAGGGTTTAGGGTTTAGGGTCTTGAGCACCTGACGCCTACCGACAGGGGGCTGGAGGGATTAATACACAAATTGCATAGCGGCTTTGAAGAGGCTATTAATAAATTGTTCCGGCTGCTGAATCGCCCGAGGGGGAGGGATTGAGCTTCTAGACCTTAGAACCCTAAACCCTAAACCGTGGATGTAGTAAATGAGTTCGCCTTCGGGTTTGGGGCCTAAGCTTACGGCTCTACGATTGCAGCTGGAATCAATCCCACAGGAGGCTCAAGCTACTTGCGCTTGCGCTGCTCCAACTGATTCCTAAGCCTCAGAGTTTAGGATTTAGGGTTAGGGTTTAGGGTTTAGGGTTTAGGCTTAGGGTTTAAGGTTTGGGGTTTAGGGCTAGGGTTTAGGTTTTGGGGTGTAAACCCCTGAACCGTCCAGGTGTGGTCACCTCAGCATTTTGTAGGCTCAGGGATATTCCAGGGAGCCTTCGCCTAGACATATGCCCTGGCTGCTGGCCTTTCACAAGTCATGACTTTTGCTATGAGGTGCTTCTTCTTGCTCGGGTCCTTGAACTAAGCGTCTTACTACGTCAAACCTGGCTGAATCTACATAAGGCCTTAGTTCTTGTTGCTAACTTCCACAATGTCTTCTGATCGACAGCGCTTTATCGTTCCTGGAAACCCTATCAAGTTGTGAGTACGGTTCCCAGCGACTGGTCCGTGATGCTTTTAGGTGCTGGGTTTCGGTTTAGGATGTAGTGTTTGCAAAATCATCAAGCCTAATGTTTGGGGTTTAGGAAACACCACGTTGATGTTGTGTTGAGGCTGAAAGCCTTTATGCCCACCCCACTTGAGATAGGACATCTAGGAACAACTAGAGGGTACTCTTGATACTCTTGCAAATGATTCCTCAAACCCCCTAACCCCTACACCCTATAACATCCCTACAAACCCTGTACCCCTAAACCCCAAACCCTAAAACCCTAAACCCCTAAAACCCTAAAGCCCTAAACCCAAAACCCTAAAGCCCTAAAACACTCAACCCTAAGCCCTAAACCCTAAACCCTAAAACCCTAAAACCCTGAAACCCTAAACTTAAACCCGAACAAAACCGCATGAAAAACCCTAGAAAGCCAGGCCGGAAACCTCGGCTGTGGCAGCGTCACAGAGCGAGAGGGAGTTGCTGCTGCCCTCAGTCCGCTAGGATGTTTGGTTTTGGGGTTTAGGTTCGAGGGTTTAGGGTTTAGGGTTTAGGGTTTAGGGCTTAGGGTTTAGGGTTTAGGGGCTGGGCCTTTTTCGGATGTAAGGGGTGCTCATCGGATCTTTGAAAGCCTTTCCATGTTCTTGCTTTGACAGGGTTTTTATGGGATTGAAAAGGTTGTTAAAAGCTTGGATCATGTGACCTGTGAGACTATGAGACTAGTAGTACCTCGCTCTGGCACAGGCAGCCTGACTCAATGGGTTGCAACTTGATACTGTCAGACGAAGAGAACTGAACATCGGAATCCAACTCTCCCACCCGTCTTCCCTGAGCGCCCGGCACGGCGCAGTGGGGTGCCCTGGCAAGATTCACCCTAAACCCCTAAACCCCAATGTAGGGGCTCGGAATGAAGGTTCGAAGTTCGCCTGGCGTCTGTAGAGATATGGACCCCAAACTCTTGTTTCGGGAAGTAAGGAACCCCAATATATACCGGACGTAGTCGGATATACAGAGACCCGCAAAAGACATCCCCGAGTTCAGAAACTTTGTGCAAAATCCCAGAAACTTGTCCTAACGGTCTAGGTTTAGGGCATAGGGTTTCTTGTACTAGAACACCGATATAAACGCCCAATACAAGACGAATACATACGAGCACGCTGCAGAACAGCGACGAAGAGTCCCTGCAAGCCCCTAACGACTGACACCCACGGTTTAGGGTTTAAGGGTTAATTAGGGTGAAGGGTCTAGTCTTAGATTCAGAACCTTATATGGCCAACATCGGGGCTGTAGTTTAAGGGTCGCAACCGACATCTACGCAGAGATACAGCTAGAATAAGGCCACAATGAAAACTAAAAAACATCCCGAGGTGCCACCTGGTGCTGCCAGCCGGTACAACTTTTAGGGCATTAGGGTTTAACGCTTGTGTCGTTTTGGAAACGTCTCGAGTTGCCCCAGATTCTTTTTGAGTGGGCAAAGGCTTTGGGGTTTCCGGAGCATTGGGCTTCACAGTACATCGACAGCACCCATCCCCTTGAGTTTAGGGTTTAGGGTTTAGGGTTTAGGGTTTAGGGTTTAGGGTTTAGGGTTTAGGCTTTGAAAGTCGGGACGACAACTCAAAAGCATCCAAGCCCAAAACCTGTCAGGATTCCCCTACGCCCTAGAAACTCGTGGAGCAACGAAACCTGGTTTTGGGTTCAGGGCCTAGATTTTCGGGCTTTGAGGTTTTTCGGTTTAGGATTTTAGGCTTAGGGTTTAGGGCTTGGGGTTTTAGGGTTTAGGGTTTAGGGATTGGGGTTTGGGGTTGGTTTGGGGTTTAGGGCTAATTTAACCTTGCAGTGCATCGCAGCTGGCATCGGGAATTTGGAAGCGTATTTCTGTCGATCTGTCCAATCTCTTTATTCCGACAACAAAAGAACAACCTCTATTCCTCACATAACCGAATGCGTAAATCCAACACTACCCACTTTCGCCGTCCCAAACCGTGCGTTTCCCCATCCGGACACGCCCTTTACGGGATAAGATTCTGGCTTAAGACCTAAACCCTAAACCCTAAACCCTAAACCCCTAAACCCTGAACCCTAAACCCTAAACCCTAAACCCAGGACTTAGGGTCTGGAAGGTACGATGTGCATTTTGGCACAATCAAAGCGTTTGTCGCAAACCCCAACAACAATTACTTACGCCAAAAACCGTCAAATCCTGCAAAGCAATGTGCTTAAGTGCGCAAGACCCACCTGCATCCTCAAGAAAACCTTGAAACACGCTAATGTGTAGTATAGGCCTCGGAATACATGCTCCCCTTAGTGCCGTAACTGTAGGGTCCTTATGCATAGGGGAGAGGCATGTAGTAATCGGGGCTGTGAGCATAGGCCTTCGTGCTCCACACCCCCACACTAGCCCTGAACCGATTTAAGGTTAAACACTATAGGGACCGTGATAACTAGAATCAGAATAGGATTAGGGGGTATGTTCTATAATTGTAGTAAGAATCCCCTAAAATCTTATTCTAATTCTGAAGGTCCCTATACTATGTTTAAATATGCATGGTCAGGGCCCTGAACCGATGAAGCCTCGACAGTTCGCATCTCCACGGAGACGCGAACGCCGAAGGCAGGACCGCTGCCACCGCCCCGCCAGGCAAGATGCAACGAGGTCCCTGGGTTTAGGGTTTAGGGTTTAGCGGTTTAGGGTTAAGGGTTTAGGGTTTAGGGGTTTAGGGTTTAGGGCTTAGGGTTGAGGGGTCAGGGGCTTCGACTAAAGGATCAGTGAGTCAGTGAGATTTGGAAGTAGATACAAGGAAGGGCACTTGAAAACCGAATTGACAGCCTGCTGACTGCATCTTGTGGTCCTCCAAGTAGGCTGCAACACCCTAAATCCTAAACCGCATGTTAAGGAACTTAATTTCAAGCTACCATGATATACGGCTTCCTTTTTTGGGTAACTTGAATTAACATGAACTAAATCATTAGAAAAGCAAGAACCCAGTTGAAGATTCCAGGCCCACGGAGATGAGGGGCTCGCTGCAGACCCCCGCCCAGAACCTACGACTCTCATTCTGGGGTTGGAATTGGGGTTTCGGAGTACTTTAGGGTTTAGGGTTTAGGACGTCGCAGTACCTTGTTTATCTCGTCATACTCCTGCTACATTAAGGAAGAATCCTAAGGAATACCTTCCCCAAGTATTCCGACGCCTATGTTACATCCTTGAGGCCTCATGTCCCGAACCTGGAACCTTGCACCCCCTAGCACCGAGAGCCACAACCCCCACAGCGCACAACTATGGATCCTAGGGTTTAGGGTTTAGGGTTTAAAGTTTAGGGCTCGAGTAATTGGTAGTATCCACGTGCAGTCCCCATTCATCGAGTTACCCTATCAGACACCCCGAAACTTTGTTCGATGATCGAGACATTTCTTCCCGCGACGCCCCTCGAACCTAAACCATACAACCCTCAGCCCTAGACCCGAGGCCCCAAACGCTGCTCCCTCCAGCACCCAAAAATCACGAAGGAAGAGTGCTTAAGGAAAGGGGGTGTGGGTATTGTTTGCTTTTGTTATCTTCCGCCTATAAGGGAACGGGACAAGATTTCGACATCTGTCCTTTTTGCTTATGAAAAAAGTTCTTTCAGAAACCAATATGATATTGGAGTCTCCAGGAACCCGAAACTGAAGAGGCAAGAAACAAGCCCATATACAAGACTCGCGTAAAATTGACTTTGAACCCTAACGCTCCCACCCCCACACAAAACCCAAACCCCAAACTCAAACCCACTCCTCCCAACCCTAAACTCTGTTCTAGAGGCCCTAGAGCTTGCACAAACCTGTTTTCAATTGAAAACAGAAGGGGTTCAGTTTAGGGTTTAGGGTTTAGGGTTTAGGGTTTGGGGGCGTGCCTTGAATGATGATTCCCTCTAGGGGTAGCTGGCTGCCATGCTCGAAGACGTACGAAGGCCTCGAGGAAGAAAGGCTTCAGGGGTGTGTACAGTTCATGAACTTCTATAGGTATTACCTATAGTCTGCATTGTAGTTCCTTTTTTTGGTTTAATCAAGTATACACTAAGGGTTTTATTGTAATTATCCCCAAGAAGGAACTATAATGGAGACTATAGGTACGGTTTACATGACTTTACGGCTCATGGGTCTTTGGGGCTGGTGGGGTTTGAGGTGTAAGGTGCAATATAGTGGCTTGAATCATCACAATAGGCGGTAATGGAGTTCGCTGTGTTTACCGGGCAATAAATCGTGCAGCGGCTACGACAGCGACTAGTACAAGGCGATGTTGGGGCTGCCATGGTTTGGAACAAGACCAGGAAATACGGGAAGTAAGGATTTCTGAAGGGCATCGCGAATCAGCCTAGGGTCGTTATCGTGCTCTGTCGGCTCTTCGTCATGACTTCATGCTCTACGGGGTTTGATATCACGAGCCTGGGGTGCAAGTTGTGCCAAGCCCTGGGAATTTATCTCGACGGGCTCAACCAGGCAGGATGAATGCGTGCAGGCTTAAGAACCCGAACTCTCGCTATAAACATAGAGGGGACAATACTCTGCTTAATTCCGGCTCTATATTAGACGGTTACAGGGTACTTGGGGCTTATTCACAAGCGGTTTGGGAGGGCGACAGCGGTTGGAATCCCAGAGCACTTTAAACTTTAAACCGTGAATACTCACTGTGCAGCAATTATGGCTTGGGTTTAGGGCTACATCCTCTTTGACATGTGGCGCGGTCTTAAATCAAGCCTCCGTAAGACATCCATGAGGGCCTGCATGTACTGTCAGAAAGCACCACTGAGGAAGCCGAAACCTGAACCCCACCTCAACTTCGAACCTCTACACCATAGTATACCCTCAACCCTAAATCCTAAACCCTTACCCTAAAAGAACCCCTGAAGCCAAAGACTTTGAACCCCTCAAGCCCCAATGCCCGCATAGGTTGCACACTCGCAAACCCTACAGAATAGTAGGCTAGGGCCTGCCTGGACCCCAAAAGTATGAAGAATAATCGCCTACTTATGGGTCCAAGCCATTATTTCACCTACTTTTGGGCGTTTAGGTAGTAATTATCTAGGGTAAAACCTAAACCATAAACCCTCAAAGCAGTAGGCAACTGGAGCCACCCGGAAAAGCTGCAGGGCTCCGAGGGTTTAGGGTTCCAGGCTTAACAATTCGGGTCTAGGGTTAAGGGGTTTAGGGTTTAGGGTCTATAGGTCTAGGGTCTAGGGTTTAGGGTTTAGGGTCCAGGGTTTAGGGTTTCTAGCTCTCTGCGACAAAAAACCTTCAAGTTCCCCCCCTAACTCGCTGGGACGGGGACTGTGACAAACTCGCATCATCGTCGGCCTTGCGCCAGGGACCCAAGCTACTTTCCTGCCATCAGACCCAAAAAGATTATCAGTCTTAATTAGTTCCCGGTGTCAAGTTCAAGATTCATCCCTAAATTACAAAACCCTAAACCCTAAAACCCAAAGCATCCCAAAGCCTCGCTTAGGACGTAAAAGCCCACCCGAGGTAGGGCACAATTGCGTTCACATGGTACGACTTGCCGTAAGGATCCAAGTGCCCAGTTACTATATACCCAAAACATCCCTTAACCCGAAACCCTAAACCCGAACCCAAAAGTACCCGTTACATCAGAAACCCGTGAAGGCCGTTAAGGCCAGAGTATGTACAGTTTTTAGTATAGTTCATAAACCCTTCTCCCTTGGTGAGGATTATGGATTATACTAGGGATCCCAATACCAGGTTGCCCCCAAAAAAACGGAACTTTTTTTGTACTCAGGGGTCGGTGATCCAACAGCTGTCGAAGGCAAAGGCCCCGATGCGGATCCTTAAAACGTAGACCCTAAACCTTTTGGGAGGGTCCGGAAGCTCAAAATTCTTAATACTCCCTAAAGTCTCCATTGTAGTTCCTTTTTTTGGCTTAACCAATTATATATTAAGGATCTTATAAGAAATCCCCAAAAAGGAACTACAATGGAGACTATAGGTCAATCCGAAACGTAAACTCGAAGCCTAAAGCCTTAAGTTTCAATCCTCGACCCTGAGCTGATTCCTAAACCCTAAACCCCAAGAATCTGAGTGCTGAGGGTCTCAGCAATACTCGGACCAGTGCACCCCCGTAATATAGGGGCTTCAGAAAAGAGATTTGAAATAGGGTTCTTTCCGGAGTTCCTTTCAAAGGCTCTGCAATGTTTACCAAGTTGACAAACAGGGATTTTTACTGGTGGCCTGAACCTTCGGAATAGGGTATTGTGGCATCCCATAAGGTATAACTATGATCTACATAAACATGTAGGAGTAGATATAGTCCTCCTGAGCTGCGGGTTGAAACGAAAGACCCGCGCCACCTCGACTAGAGAGTTTCTGTGCACTGGAAACTACCCTAAACCCTATGACATCCAACCCTAAACCCTAAACCCTAAACCCAATGGCAGACAACCCTAAACCCTAAACCCAATGGCATACAACCCTAAACCCTAAACCCAATGGCACAGTTTTCAGGGCTATAGGGTTTAGGAGTTTAGGGTTTGTAGGGTTGTAGGGTTGTAGGGTTATTGGGTTTAGGGTTTAGGGTTTAGGGTTTAAGGGCTTAAGGGTTTAAGGGTTTAAGGGCTTAAGGGTTTAAGGGTTTAAGGGTTTAGGGTCAAGGTTTTAGGGCCCTCCATGATAAATTTCAGCGAGCGCTTGTGGCATCGGATTTCGGGCCAACCACTAAGTCTCCACGCAAGCATTACGGTCTGCGAGTTTCGATCCGAATTGAAGATGTGGGGGTTGAGGGGTTTATATGGGTTCAGGGGTTTAGGGTTTAGGATTTAGGGTTTAGGGTTCAAGGTTCAGGTTTCAGACAACCAAGCAACCATACCGGAGCGTGCAGGGACGTAAAGTAAACAAGCAAAACCGAGGGGGTGGGAGCAAGAGCGTTGTGACCCTGCAGCGCTTTCGTCTCATCGTAGCAAAGTCTGCACACATGTTTGCGAACTGCATCGGCCGTTTGCAGAGCATTTCCACAAGTGCCTGCCAAACAAGACTCATGCCCACGGCATCTTCTGCCAAGAACCATCACTGCCAAGGCATCGCGAGATGGGGTCACCGTCTTCTACACGCTCAGAACATCAATTCTGAAATCAAGAAAATCCGTCCAAACCAGGACACCTGCGAGTCGTCTTCAAACAAGTCGTCCTGCCATGAAACATCTTCAAACAAGTCGTCCTGCCAGGTGCATGGATATTTTTGACAAGAAGCATCGAAGCTTGGAACCCCACTTGCAAGCCACATTGCTGTATTTTGCACTGCCAATCTGCAACAGAAACTCCGACATGCGCTGCATTCTGTTGGACCCTAGCCTTTAGCGGCGATAACACACACTCTGGTCGCGATGGCCCCGACCGATCACCCTAGTTGTGCACCCCACAGTTGGGCACCGCTGGGAATTCAACAGTTATGCAAGACACTTGTAGTCGTTGTAGTCAGCCCCAAACTCCCGGGTTTAGGGGTTAGGGTATAATCCTGCATCAATATTTCCCAAACAAAACCAGGTACCACAATCTGGGCGCTCGACATTCCTGCAACTCGAGCAAAGCAGCAGCTCCAAATCCACAAACACATGTCAATCCTACTAGCACGCCAAGGATCTAGCGCTGGCTCGAAACCGAAAACCCTAAACCCTAAACCCTAACAAATGTGAGGTTCTTCTGGCGGCTTGGTGCCCACTACTCCCCAGTCGAAGTCAAATTACCCGACCCCCCCCCCCCCCACGTATTCTGAGGACCCCTGGAACCTCCATGTCAGGGTTCTCTTTTCTTGGTCCGAGACACCTCTGCAGAACTGTGCGAATTTCCACAGCCGTAAACTAGCAACAAAGCCAAACAGAGTAGCTGGCGGAACTCACTACACTCTCATGGCTCCGCACGCAGTGGCTAGCGCACAAAAGCCAAGTACTAACGTCCAAAACCCTGAACCCGAAACTAAACCCCAAACTATAGACGCCCGATTCTTCTTCTTGAGGCCCCTACATGAACGCAGCCCTGCGAAACCATGCCTTAAGCTTTACAAAACCTCTCTGACAACTTATAACTATAATAGCTACAACCCTCCATCCTACGTCTGAATGCCCTTGTATTTCCATCGGCCCCTAAACCCTAAACCCTTGACCAGGCCTCCACACTCCTCACCTGCCCGAGGCGCGGAGCACGAGGGGGCTTTGGGTTTTTTGGGGCTTGCTTAACGTTCACGGTTTAGGGTTTAGGGGCTTTTTTCGGGATACATATGGGCTGTGCGGAGTTTTACAGGATCCAATAGCGGCCTAAGAAAGTTTTACCGGTCTAACTGGGTCTTTAAAAGTGCTTATAAAAGGGTTTATAGCTCGTCTATCTATTTCATCGAAGTCCACAGTTTTTGGGGCCGTGTTTCCAGAACTCCGCACCGTGATGCAGAGCCTGAGCACTGCCTCAAGCCTGTCCGCTTTAGGGTTTATGGTTTAGGGGTT